ATGCTTAGCTCAGGTTGCTCCTTCGGATATCTAACAAAAAAAAACTTAAAAATCTTGTCAGACACCCACTTTCTTTTGTAACGGATGTACCTCAGAGCTGACTTCGCTACGATAATACCCCAATGCCGAGTTCCGGGCTATGTAATCGGTGGTTTCTTTCGCACAAGTGACAACCTGGTAGCAGCACTGGCCCAGGCTGCCAATAAAACAGTGGGAAGGCAGATCCAGAAGGGGGAGAAGCAAGGATCTTTCCCCTCCTCCCTTCACTGGTACAGGCATCAGTGCCGCAAAAGCTCGGGTCTAAAGCTAAAACTAAAGTAACTCTAAGTAGCAGTGTGTTACAACTCTATTCCTAGTTTTTGCCCAGTTCCAAAGGGGAGAGTGGCTCTTCCCCCAGGAGTCCATCCCGGCCCCGCCCATGCCAATAAAACAGTGTTATATTTTAATGCACAGCAATTTCGGATGGTGAAACTCACGAAGTCGTTTACGTTCATGATACCATCTTCCACCGGATTTTTGCACTCGATAAAATATTTCAGCGTCTGTTTCTTCTTTTTGTTGCCGCCGGCGCCTTTTTTGGTCGCTCGTCGTCCCAGCTGCTTCTGCTGCACCATGGCCCACTGCAACTGCGCACCAAAAAAAAACACAAACCTGCAAGTATGGCGCAAATCAGCAAGAGAAATCCTCACAACCCAAACCCCCTTCCGCGAGCCCTAAACCTCCCTCTCCCCCCCTCCCCCTTTCGACCTGTTCCTAAAATCACCCCCTCATCAACCATATCGAAAAGGACCGACGACTACTAAAACTCGGCTGCGCGCCATGCACCCACTTTCGGGCCCCGGTTCGACTGCGGTACCTCCCCAATAGTATTAAATTTTATGAAGGGCATAAAAGAAACCTATGTAGGATCGCTCCTATGCATGCCTCATTCCAGTTTCCAGTTCCTACCCCCAAGCAAATCCTCTGCTTATTTCCAGTCAGTGGTCCCATCCACCCCCCCCCCTTCCTTCGTTATCACC